GCCCACCTCAGCCTCCCACAGTGCTAGGATTACAGGCTGTTCAGAGTGTTTTAAAGAAACTTGTCCAGGAGCAGGAATTAGGGAATTATGGACAATTCCTAGTCCTGGAAAACCCAGACGTCTGGCTGATTTTCTTGGTTTTGCACCAACTTGCTGGGAGAACCTGGGCAAGTCCCTTTGCCCCTTTGGACAGATACAGTGAACAAAAGTGCTGGCATTGTAGGATGCCCTTCCAACTTGGGTGCTTATAAATTCCTATAAGCCTGTCTCCAGAAAGTTCAAGAGTCCAGGCCTGAAAAAGCACTGGTTTGGCTTGGTGCCTGTGGCTCATGTGGCTAAGGTGCCAGCCACATACACCTAAGGTGGCGGGTTTGAATCCAGTCCAGGGGCCAAACAACAATGAGGGCTGCAACCAAAAATAGCCAGGCGTTGTGGCGGGCGCCTGTGGTCCCAGCTACTTGGGAGGCTGAGGCAGGAGACTTGCTTGAGCCCAGGAGTTGGAGGTTCTGTGAGCTGTGATGCTATGGCACTCTACCCAGGGGGACAGCTGAAGGGTCTGTCTCAAAAAAAAAGAAAGAAAGAAAGAAAGAAAGAAAGAAAAAGCACTGGTTTGTCTTCTTTCCTGGGCCCCTAAAAGAACAGAGGGCCACAGACAGGGCCCAATAGGGGGCTTTCCCAAAAACTCCTGTCTCACACCTGGAAAGTGAACTCAGGGTTTTTTTTTGGTTTTTTTGAGACAGAGCCTCAAGCTGTCCCCCTGGGTAGAGTGCCGCAGCATTACAGCTCACAGCAACCTCCAACTCCTGGGCTCTAGCTGGGACTACAGGTGCCCGCCACAACGCCTGACTATTTTTTGGTTGCAGCCGCCATTGTTGTTTGGCGGGTCCGGGCTGGGGATTTGAACCCGCTACCTTAGGTGTAGATGGCTGGTGCCTTAGCCGATTGAGCTATAGGCGCCGAGCCTGAACTCAGGGTTTTAATCTCAGCAGACACCCACGTATTAGCACTTCTTGTGTGCCAGAACTGTTTCCTAGTGCTTTACATGTAGTTACACATTACATGCACAAAGCAGTTCTCTGAAGTAGGTACTATTATTTCCTTCATGTTATAGTTGAGGAAAACAGATTCCATAGATAGATTCCACAACTTGCCCAGTGTCACACAACTAGCTAGTCAATGGCCAAGTAGGACTGAGACCTCAGTAAATCTCTCTACAGAGTTTGTGCTGTTAACCAAACTCTGTGCTGCCTGCGTAGATGGGGAGAAGAGATCGGGCTGTCGAGAGTTAAAGGAAGGAGCGTGCAGATCCAGTTCTGCTTTTGCTGGTGCTCTGAATTCAAGGTTGGAGCCACTTTTTTTGCAAAGGATTCAGGTTGTGCTTTATAGCAGGATAGCTGGAAATGGGTGGACAGGTATGTGCCTGGTGATTGAGGGATGCCCTCTTTGAGACCTAGTTGGAACGGGAAGAAAGTTTTCCTATTCTGACAATTGCTTACCTGACATCTATCCCCAAAACTAATCCTACTGATGAAGGAGCTTCTTTCTGAGCAGTAAGCCTGTGCTTAATTAACCTTATGCAAATGAGCTTAACTGCATCTCAGTGGCTATTATCCTGAGCACCTAGGGATTCCTTCCCTCAGACATTTTCAGCACCTAGAATGTTCATCTGGACATGCGCACCTGCGATGTACTGGGCCCTGGGTTGGAAATCACAAGGGGCAAACCCTCTTGTCAAGGTACTTACAGCCCCCTGGGAAACACACACACGCAACCAAGGACCTTGCTAGCCTCATGAACCAAGTGCAATCAGAACACAGAGGTTGCCTGTGTCCCAGCAGTTGAGGGGTCTTGTAATAGGTTCTTTTGCAGAGCGATGGCCTGGGTTTGCAGAGGAAATGGAGGTGGGGAGCAACTTCCTGGTTTCTCTCAGGTAAGTGAAATACGAAGGAACTTGATGTGGTCTTCACAGCATCTCCAACTTTGTGCAGTCTTTCACCCTGGGTTTGCCGGGCAGGCAGGAATAGACATGCTGGAAAAGAGGTATGTTTACCTTGTCCCCCAAGTCTTGGACTCCAGAGCCAGACTCCCTATAGACACTGCTGGGGCACAGGCATGGGGAACCTGACACCCTGCAAGAACAGTCCGGAGGACATTCTGTGCCCAAATGATCCCCCCTAGCTCCCCAAGCCCCACTTTTTCTCCCTGAGAACCAATGCACCCTAATTTGGGTCTTTGGGCATTGGCTGCAATTCCTAAAATTTGTCGCAAGGTGGCAACAATGTGGCGAGAAATAGACTTTTAAAAAATCCTCGGGTTTTTTTCAAAGCATATTTTCCCTATTAATGTTTCGTTTAACTTAATTAGAATCTGGTAAACTAATTAAAGTAGCTACGAGACCCGCAATCAGCAATAATTCGTATAATTATTGATAATTACATCCATACCAATCGTTTGGTTATTAACATTTCGAGAGGGAACAAACCACTTCTGAAGGGACGTGGTGCCCAAGAGGGTGTTTTTGACTGAGCTTTCTGGGTCGGATCCGCCTACACCTCCAGTCCTCAGAGATCCCGGCCCGGATGGGCGCCCCTTCCTATGTGCTCCAGCTGCCTACGTGATTTTCTCCATTTGGGGGGAGTTTGGGAAGGAAGGACGGAAAGAAACATTTGCCAGGCTCCTTGTTCAGCCGGAGCCAAGGAGTTTCCTTTCTAGGTGGTAATTTTTACGCCCATTCTACAGATGAGGAAAGTGCGGCTCCCAAAGGTGCGGTGGGGAAAGCCGCGTGCCATCTCCATCACACTGCCAAGCCGGGTCCCAGTTCTGCTGGTCCCTAGAGTGCCCTGGGGATGCAAGTCACTTCCTCTCTGGACCTCAATTTCGCCGAGGGTACACAGGAGAACTGATGTGGTTGGTCCCATCTATATGCAAGGGTCCTAGAGGATCCCTGCCTGGAGGTCGTGCGTCCGGAGGCGAAGCCTCACAGTCTGCCCCGCACCCTCACCGCAGCTGTGTCTTTCCCGTCCTCTTTGGGTTTAGCCCTCGGAATATCCCTGTACTTGAGGGATCCCAGCGCAGCAGGCTCTGGGGCTGGCTTCCTGCCTCTGCAGTACAGCAGGTCTCCCGGTCGGCGCCTGTTTGGGGCGGCTCAGGGCGCGCCTCCCATTCGCCGACTCCGCCAGCGGCCCTCCAAGCAATCCCCCCCGAAACTTCCCGGCCCCGAGCTGCTGGCCAGACCCACGCGAGCTCTGGGTGATCCGAGGGCCGAGCCGTCGGGGCTCCCGTTGCGGCCACGGACAGGTGTCGGCGCGCGGCTTCCCTCTCAGAGCTTTTCCACGAGCCACCAGAGCAGGGGCCTAAGTGTTCATATTTTATAGAGGCCGAAATGGAGACCAGGAAAAATTAAGGTCGCGATAGGAACCCTTGCTAGCTGGCCGAAGAGGTGAAATTGGGAGCCCAGGCTGAAGGATTCTGAGTACCGTGCGCTTTCCCACTCCATCCACCAGCATATTCCTCCCCGCCCGCCCCCCCATCCCCCAAAAGTGAGAAAGAGTTCCTCAGTTAACTTCGGCGGTTTTAGCCCAAGGAGCAGGTGCGCTATGGAAACTGGCGGACAGGAGGCCTGCGGCAAGGTGAGGCCTCGCCAAACGCAACCCGGCCGTCCATGCACCTGCGGCCCCTAGACTAAAATGGACTGCAAGCGAACGTGAGGCCAGGCCCCCCTCCTTTTGAACGGCGGCAGAGCAGGCGGGAGGACATCTGTGCACCAGCTCTAAGTCTCGCCTTCCTTTCCAGGCCTGTCCTGCCGAGACCTTTTGTAGGTACTTCACCCTCCACCCTGCCCCCAGGGATCCAGGGTTGGCCCGCGCCAGCTGCAGGGGTAATTCTGGTTGAACCTGGGATTCTGCGCCGGGAGCCCTGACTCTGGGAGCCCTGGAGGTAACTCCCCTGGTGTGACAGACGTAGAAATGGGCACGAATGAACTCTGGGCCCATGCAAGGGCTTGAGGGAAGAACCAGGGACTGAGGTTCTAGGGACCTTTTGCCTAGCCGGGTCGCTAAGGGAGGGTCCTAAACGCGGAGAGGGAGTGTCCTGTGGTGTGTCTGGAGGGGTCAGTGGAGAGGTTGCTGCCCACCTCTGCAGGCGGGATTCTAACCCTGGGAGACTCAGAAGCTGCATAACGGCTCCCACGCCCCACCTGTTGCACAGTCTGCCACTTGCCCCTGTCCCCTAATACCCCCCACTCCGCGCACCCCCATCTCCAAGCCCCAGGGAGTGACAGATTTTTTTTTTATTATTAAAAACAAAAGTCACGGGTACAGGGTGGTCTCCCCAAACAGGCTTCAGGTGGTCGCCAGCTCGTGAGTCAGTTGTTGCTCTTTTAAAGTGCTGTTACATCAAGAGGTTATAACAAAAAATAGATAAAGCAAAATCCAAAGGGGAATGTAAAGTGGGACTGGAAGTAGGTCCAGGAGAAGGAAGCAAAATAACTTATAGCATAAATAAATTAAAGCGAACCTAATGCTGAACCAAGAGACTCACAGTACATTTATATCCATTGCACATAGCCACTTTGTCATTAAGAACGATAGTTTCAGAAGTGGACGGGACTGGGAGAGTAGGCCGGTGCCAGCAAAGTTGCTACATTGTATTCACAATCGGGGTCTGAGGCTGTACACGGGGTGGGGGGCGGGAGGAGGAGTGTCCCCCCTCCCTTTTCTTCTCCCCATTGGTCCACTTAACCCCCAGAGGTCCGATGCCCTGGAGTTCAACCGAGGGGCCAGGCGGTATTTACACTTGGAAACCGAGTCAGGTCTCTGGACTGGGACGCCCGAGAGGGGGCGGGCAAGGCCGGGCCACCCAGAAGGGCGAACGGGCTGGCTGCTGTATTGACATCGGTCACGTCGGAATGGCTTGTTCCTCGCTCTGGGCAGCCGCGGCAGCGGTTATTTACAAGAGGGAGCAGCATGGCTTGAGGGCGCGTGGGCGCGGTCGGGCCGGCCCTAGGGTAACAGCGGGGGCTTGAAGGAGCAGTTGCCAGTGCAGTGGCGGGGCGTCAGCATCTTGCAGGAGAAGTGGTGCAGGGCGTCGTGGGCTTCTGGGGAGAGAGTCGCGCAGGCCATTTTGGGCGCCTCTCTTGCCTCAGCTGCCCCGCAAGGTTTCCCGTTCCCCTCCCTGGCCTCACCCAACCCTTTGGGGACAGAGGTTCGCAACTGAGTGGATCAGGAGGTAGCAGGGTAGGAGAAAAACCCTGGTGATTCAGAATCACTGCTCTAAATAGTCCCATTTTACAGAAGAGGAAACTGAGTCACAGTGAGGGAGGTCGACTTGCCCAAGGCTAGAGTTGGTTCTAGAAGGCGGATTTTCTGATGCCCAGAGCTCCAGGGGCCCTCTCTCCCTACTCCAGCGTTAGAGTAATTTTCCAATTAAAATCAATTCCCACTTCCCTCCTCTCAGCTTCTGATCTATGCAGACCCTGGCCTTTCCCCTCACTCGCCCCTTCATTCCTTCCTTCCTTCCGCGGCACCACCAGCACCCGGCACCCTCCTATCTTTGTTTCCCGGCTTCCGCACCTTTCAATTTCTGCTGGATGGCGTAGCGCGCCTTCCGCTCCTGGTCGAGTTCGTTACACAGGGTATCTGGAAAAGACATGGGAGGGGACCGTCAGGCTACCCAGCCACCCTCTGAATAGCCGGGTCATAGCCAGGCTTCATCCTCTCCCCAGGGCGCAGCCCCTCGCAGAAACAACTCCAGGAACAGGGGGAGGGGGTACTAGGCTCCAAACTGCAGACTGGCGGAGGGAGGAAATGGCCTGGGATGGCGCTTAAAGGCAGACGGATCTAACCAAAATTAAAGCAAACTTAGGCATTACTTCCCAGGTAATTTTACGCCTCGATTTTTAATTTAGAAACCATGGAAATTGCCGCGATAAGAAGTTCAATCACTCCATGTAATGATGCCTGCAAGCCGTTTGCTGGGCTTGCTTGCCATTCTGAGGCTAATCAGAGTATACAAAGGATATTAAATAAAAAAAATAATTGTTAAATTACCTTCAATTTAAATCCAAATGACTGAGCCAACATTGAGGCTCCTGCCAGACGAGAGGCAGTTACGGCCTGTGCACGCGCTCACCTGACTCCCGTCTTACCTCTGACAATTTGCAGCTGTTGCACCATTTCTTCTCGATAAGCCAATTCCCTCTTCATTTGATCCTGAAAATTATCTGTGCAAATTGATTAAGTGAGAGCTGTTATGCGCAGCCTGCTCCCCCAGCTCCACTTCCTCATTCTCCCCCATCTTCACCCCTACTCCACCCCCACCGAGGCATTCGCCACAGGAAACCGCGGAAATGGAGAGTTGCCCGGTTTCTGCAGGATGCCCAGCAATAGCTGCCTGCACTGGGCTACCGAAGTAGGTCCAGGACCCTGGTGGTGGTGGTGGGGAATCTTGGTTCCCAAGTGGGTGGGGCAGGATGGGGTACCTTTGAGACTCTGAAATTCTCGTTCCAGTTTCTTGCGGAGCTCCATTTGCTCCAGGAGCAGTTTTTGCAATTCGTCTGTGAGGGGTGGAGAGTAAAGGGTGGGTGTGATTGAAACTGGAGACATGCAGAAAGCACTCAAGTCCTGGCCTGGCCAATAGCCCTTGGAGAAGAGTTGGGGAGGATGGACCAGTAGGTAGAGGCCCTTGAACTCTGGCTTTTCTATTCGCATCCAAAAGATTTGGGTAAAGAAACAATGATGAGAAAATCAAATTCAGGATGGTGGAATGCATGTTCCACCTCTAAGCACTAACCAGTTTGATAACCACTGTAAGTTTTTCCTAATTCCCTAAACTTAGAGGTTGGCCCACAGAAACTTGATTTCCCACTTCAAATGACAGATCTAATCCTCCCTTTTCAATATAAATCAAAGAGAACCTGATCAAGGCCTTGGACACCCTTCCCAGAAAAATATACATACTCATAACAGCCTACAATTTCAGGATGTCCCCAGACTACCAAATCCATGCTAAGAACCCTCATATAAACCACCAATGATTTTGAAGGTAGCAGCATACTCTGTAAAATCTGTAACTAGAAAGGATGTAAGCCCACCAAAGCTTATCTTCCTCTGCACACCTAGACTGTCCATGGGCTGGGGTGGGGGCAGGGAGCTGAGTGTGGATGGCTCCATTAGGGCTCCCTGGAAGCAGCTCCCCAGGGAATAGGGAAGGGGCAGTGCTGCCCTGATGTGGGGTCATTAGTATCTGGGCCTCCCCCTGGAAAGTCTCTGAAACACAGGTATGGAAGGTGGAAGGGCAAAGTGGGGCTAGGGGCTCCCTTTCTCTGGGCCTTGAGCCATACCCTCCCCCTTGCAGGATGAGCAGCAACATGAGGGTCCCATTCTGCAAATAAACTGCATTTTCACTGCATTCACAGTGGTGGGGTTATACATTATCCCTGGAGAAAAATTTAACTTCTTATATGTTCTAAAAATCAATGTTTCCCTGCAATCTTGCTATTCAGAAGAAGTCCTGTTGTCCATTGAGTTTGGGAGACCCAGATTGTTCACAGGCATCAAGTTCTGAAAATCATTACTCATTTCTCGTTCCCACTGGGCTATTCAGACAAATCCCTTCCTTACAGAACCCAAACTTTGAACACACATCTGAGGGTTTGGTTCAACCCTTCCACCCCTCCCCACAACATACTCACCTCTGTGTCAAGATAATGTATCCAGAAGATTATCTTTTCCCCTCAGTGAAATGAAAACTGATCTTCTCAAGAACCATGTCTTTCCCACACTCATCCCTGGCAGGGATAACAGCCCCTCTATAGGAAGGGCCCATCTCCCTCAAGCATAGTTGTACCCCTTTTCACAGATGTAACCTCACCTCTAGCCAGGTTCTCGATGTCTTTCTCCACCAGCTGAGTTCCTGTGACATCCAGGGTGAGCCCATCTTCGCCTGGGATAAAGGGGAGGTGAAAGGAGTTCTATCCTGGAAGAGACCTTGGGAGGGGAGGAGTGAGAGTCCCAGGAACTGCACCAACTCAGGGACTACTCCAGATCCTCTGCCTTTGGAGGAGACAAGTTACAGGCATCCAGTCCTACTCACCTTCCAAACCATCATTTTAGGGGCTAGGAGAGTGACCCACTGTGGAAAAGTGGGTCCATGGAAGATGGTCTTAGGACAGAAAGTGTCCCTAGGGTTTCCCTTCTTTGAAGGGAAGAGCTTCAAACCCACCAAGGAGGTAGACCCAGGAAACCCGGTCTGCACTCGCCCGCGTTATTTAAATACGCATCTCCTCGCCACGGAAGAAACTAGCGGCCGTTTACTCCTGACTGAAAGCCTTCCTGACAAGCGTGCGGGAACCTGGGCGACCTGGGTCCCTCCTCCCGGTTGCGGGTTGGGTGTGAAGGGTCCGAGGGCTCACCTCGGTCTGTATTTGCAGGACTTGGCTGAGAGATACTCCTTTGGTCTGGATAGGATTTCCTCGTTTCCAAATCTTCGGCGGTCGAGTGATTGTCTTCCTTATCTGGCTCTTAAAGGCAATAAACCGAGTTTCAAGGAGAGGCAAAGAAACCGTGACCCGGATACTGCCAGAGCTGCCGCGGTCGGGGCGCCCGAGCCCTAATTAAAAGCGTCCTGGCCGCCTCTGGTTCCCGGCTGTGCGCCCAGGCGCGTGCCCTGAGGCTTTGGGCCGGGCACCCCTCCCCCGCGCGTGGTCTGCTCATCTCCCGGCTTCACGCCCCCGCCTCAGCCCATAGAAGAGAGCAAGACGAGCCTCCAAGCCCACCAGGGACGTGCGACCTACATCGCACGCAGATACTGGGGCACCGCGAGCGCGCGTGGCCGCCAGGTCTCGCTGAGAACGCAGCCCAGGCAGCGACCTGGGCGGATGGGAGGGTCATCGTCTGGAGCGTGGCTGCCTCGATTTGCGGGGATTTCCGAGGCCCACAACCCCTCCTCTATGAGCAACCCTGTCCCTTGCACAGATGCAGGGAGGCCTCACCTCTCGCCCCCTTGCTTTGGGCCACAACTGCCCCAGTGCCTCTGGGGTACCCATAGTACCGCATTCTCCATCCCGATCAAGCCTGGACACACGGGACCCCCTACCCAAACACACTTGCTGAATAAATGGGAGGACTTGAAGGAGGTTCCAGGCGTGGGTTTTAAAAGGTTTTAACCCAGTGTATGAGGTGTGCTGTAGCATGTGTGTGTGGAAAGGATGGGCTGTTACTTTTTTTAACTAATCAAACGATGGAAGTTGTCGGGATAGTCGCTTGGCTTCCCCTCACCCCCATTATTTTTCTTTCCCCCTTCCTCTTTTTGTGCGTCTCTGTCTTTTCTCTCATTGTTTTCCCTCACAGGCCTTCCTTGGCCCTGGCTCTGTGCCTGTGGTCCCCCATTATAGAGGCCAGCGGCCTCGGCAGGCGTTACCGTGGGCCTCGGGGGTGCAGAGGTAGGAGGCCGTGGGCCCCAGCGCTGCCGCCGCACTCTTCACGTGCTCGTCCCTGTCGGGCGCGTACACCTGCGGCGGCCGAGAAATGACAGGCGATTAGGGGGCCTCTTGGAGGCAACCTGAAGCCACCTAGCCCTGTCCCTAGGTCAACAGGGAAAGCCGAGCGGGTAGTGGAGGTTGAAGTGCCCCAGGTACCGGAGCGCCCAGGGCACGGTGATGTAGGCAGCGCACCTGTGAACCCTTGGAGCCCGCATCGCTGTTGTAGATTCAGGGTAATTATTCGCGCCCTCAGAAAATTACTTGAAACACAAAGCTATTCCAAGCCAAGGGCCATTGAAAGTCTTCCCACACATACACTTGCCACCATTTCGGTGTCCTCCTCCTCCGCCCAGTACCCAATCCCCCGCATAAACGAGGCCTTTTGCATTCGGTTAACGACTCGTCTTTTAATGAACCGAATGGAAATGTACAGGTGTGCGCACCCACTTGCAAAATGGCCAACAATTCCGACTTGCTTCCAACCCCTCAAGCCCCCGCCCTGCCAACTTGAGAACCCCCGTCTTGTTCTGCTCACCGTCCCAACACAGCTTTCCCAAAGGAAACCCTGCGGTTCCCAAACCAGGAGTTCCAAAAGACTCCCAAGAAAACTATGAGCAGAGCTGATGGGAGATTCTGGGGATCCAGTACTTAGGGAGAGGCCCCCTGCTCCTCTCCTTACCCTCTCTTCTTTTTGGAGCTCTGCTCCCCAAATGGGCGCACTCTGGACCTGGCCTCGGGAGTGCTTTTCTCTGGGTCCTTTTCTTACCCCCTCCTTTATTATCCAGAACCCCTCTATTTTTGTCCATCAGCATCTCTGCTCGTCTCCTTCTCATTCCCATCATCAACAACAGAAAAGCACAAGTGTTCCTCTGGCTTGCCAAACCCCCGTCTTCTGAAACCCTCAGCCATGGGTCCCAGAGAGCCCAGCTCCACAGCGCGCCGGAGCCTGGGCCTGCTGCTTAAACACCTACACCGCACAGAACAAAAGTTCCCGTCCTCCGCCCGGCCCCGGCCTGCCCCGCAACAGGGCGGCACAGAGGGGTAAGTGAGAGGCGCCACCGGTGGGGTGGGCGCAGGGCTCACCTTGGCCGGCGCGGGGCCTCCCAGGGGCCCGCAAGGCTCTCGCAGCTCGTAGCCGCCGCTCGGTGGGCTCCTCTCAGGTCTCCGCACCACGTCGTCGGTCGCCAAGTCCCCGAATGCTGACCGGCCAGCTGGGGGTGGCCCGAGGCGGCGCCGGGGACAAGGGCTGCTGCCTCCGTCAGGAGAGTCTGTGGGGCCGTCTGCCCCAGAGGAGGATGCAGACTGGGGTCCAGCGGGCTGGTCACCGTCTGGGCCACCTCCAGTGCTAGGTATGCTGGGCTCCGTCTCATCATGAGCGCCCTCGTCGTCTGGGAAGCGGTTGGATTCCACGTCCACCTCGGGCTCGTCCGCAGTGTCCACGTCGGGAGAGGCAGAATGGTAGCTGGAGCTGCCCTCGCTCAAAAAGTCCGGACTCACGTAGCCGCCGCCGGTCCCGGTGCCCGGTCCCGGCCCACGAGCGGGCCCAGGGCCATACGCTTCGCGGGCGCTGCCATAGAGCTTGGCAATGCTCTCGGCGTCTTTGACTACAGGCCGGAAGGCGGACACGTAGGAGCCTTTGCGTGCGGGTGGCGGCGGGGGCGGTGGCAGCGGGGCCAGGGGCGGTGGCAGCGCCTCATCCGTGCCGTCTTCGTCCAGCGGCCCACGGGACAGAGCGCTAGGGCAGCGCTCTTCCGCGACGAGGCCACCCTCTTTGGATGGCTCAGCACTGTCCAGGGGCTCTGGGCCGCCGCCACCAGCAGCTGCTGCCGCCGCTGCCGCTGCCGCCGCCACAGCAGCCGCCACGGCCTTGGCTTGACTCTGCGCAGCCGGATAGGGAGGCACCGGGAGGCTGCCAGCCGCTGGCCAGAACATGGGAAACGTCGGGTACACAGTGGCGG